CGGCGCTCTTCTTGAACTCAAAGTCTCCAATGGCTCGCGAGAGGGCGAGGTTGCCGTTCACGCGACCAAAGTCCACGAAGCCTCCTGCGGCTTGGATGCGCGCTTTCTCGGCTGCCAATTATCAGTCATTATTCACTCTGGCAGATGATTGCTCGTACCTTCGTTCTGGGGTTTGTGGTCGTACGAGAGCGGCTTGGCCCGGCCCTTGATGCCCAGGACTGAGCGGGAGTCGCCTGAATTCGCCTGTCTTTCTCAGCAATTGGCTCGCATTAGATTGCGATTTTACATACCACGTAGATCTTGTCTTTTGAGATGATACCGACCGAAGCGGTACAGCCCGACACCTCCTCTTCGTACTTGGGGTCTGCAAGGTGAGTCAGCCGTGCTCTTCAATGGAGCAATACTGGGCCAGAAGCATACCACTCAGTATCGCGCGGTCTGTCGCGAGGAAGCCGTCCTGAAGCGCCTTCTTGAGATCGCCCTCCTTGAAGGCCTCCTGCTTCGCGACAATCTCGTGCAGATGCTCGCCCGTGTATATCGCTACCTTGTCGCCGCCGTGACCATCGTATACACCGAAGAAAGCCAGTCGCTTGTCGGCGGGGGTGGTGCCGCCCTCAACGACGGACTGCAGGTCTAATATGGTAGCATGGGCGTCTTCCATGCTGATTCGCCATCCCTGCATTGAGGAGACGCCGAAGATCAGGTTGTCGCCATGGCCGGTTTGTGATTTCTGGACGCACGTGTCAGCATTGCGGACGGCTCTTGGTTTTCACGGGCGGCGCATATCAGATGCGGCAGGCGCTGACGGAGCAGAGACCGCAAGAGCGATGCGGGGGCGGGGGACGGGCATTGAGTGAAATACCTTGTCAACCACGGGCTCCGAGAGAGTTTGACCCATACTGTCCGCTGCCTACGAGGACTTGGTCGAGAGAGCGAGGGAGATGTGGAGGCGGAGTCGCGGCAGCTTCTGGGGCATAGATTTGTGCAGCGTCACAACTGTGTGGGGTACTGGCGGAGTGGTGGCGTCGGCGGCAGCAGCAGCAGGGTGGAAAGCAGGTTGGGCGCGGTGCAGAGAATGTCAAGAGGGAGAGTTTGCAGGGCGACGGCGTGAGTCTCCGCCCGTAGGTAAAGGTGTTGGGTGAGGAGGTTGTTGTTGTGTGAAGGTGCAGCGGGCTCTGCGATCGAAATGCTATGAGTGACTAAGCTAGTCCGCTTTGGATAGTGGCTCGGTCATGATGGCAGCATCTCGACCGGTTCTCTTTGACGCTACGTTGAACACCATGCATGCTACCATGCTAGATCACTTCGCCTTCCCCCTTCGCGCCACCGTCCAAACGCATCCAAACGCATCCAACACATGCAGACGTACCGCAGGCAGGTCTGATTGCACAGTGAGGCTGTGTCTCGCACTTTCCAGGCAGCCAGCCAGTACGCGGTACGCAGCACGCAGCACGCGGGACGCCAATGGCCATGGCCGCGAGTAATGCAGTGTTCCTGAAGCCCCCACGTTTGAAAATTCTTTGTTCGCCCTCGAGACTGCTCTTGTCCGCCCAGGAAGGTGACCATCTGCCATCTGCCATCACGACATCGCCAATGACTCGCCGGCGCGAGGTTGTTCCGTAAGCGGACTTTGCAGCAGCTAAAGTCCGCAGCCCGCCGCACTCTCCTCGTGCCGTTTCACCATCTGAGGTGCATTGTGCAGAGCGGCGTTACCAGACGGGCAGAACCTCTGGCGGTTCGGTAACCGTCTGTGATGTGTGAGATGTGGCGCATGTCCTTGGACACGTAGGGCGCTAGGGGATGATCGCAAGTTTGTGCGTATTCCAAACCTAGATCTGTGGAAACGGTAGCCGGACTTCTGGGATGCAAACGACGTCGAGAGTTTGTTTGGCCCGACGTCTGGCCTGCTCGTCATCCTTTTCTGTAGAGATCTGATAGATAAGAAAAATAGGCAAACTCGATCCTTTGTGTGTTCTACTCGAAACGGCATCGTCCGTCTCCACAAGCCTGCGGTTCACGTCTATCCCCAGAAACATAATGTTTAGTAGTGACTCGGGCCAGTCGAGGTGGACCCTTGAAGTCCAAGCGTACCTCGGGACATTCACTTAGCGCCGTCGCCCTTTCCCTCCCGGGCGAACCGAGGATCTCTCATCATCATTATCATCATCATCCATCTTGTCACGAACCTTCTTTCCGCAACCTCCGCGTTTCCTTTTCTTCTCCAATAATCCAATAATCCCTCTAATACCAACTTCCCATCCCGATCCAAGATGGCGCCAACTCCTGCCTGGGTCAAGCAATTGAAGCCCTCAGGCCCCCAGGGCTCTGAGCTTCTGGCCGAGGAGCGCGCCAAGTCTGATATCCCCGTGGAGAAGCTGCAGGAACTACTCCTTACCAAGGAGGCGATTGAGCGGAGAAAGAGGATTCTCGCCATCTTGAAGAGCGAGAAGGTGTTTGATAAGAGCCAGAATTACTTCTCGGGCCGGATGGAGAGGTTTGAGAGGGCGTTGGCGCGGGAGAAGAAGCTGCAGTTGCTGAGGAGGAAGCACAATTGGGACCTCGAGGAGGCGAGAACTGCCTTTGATCTTGTTGGGGAACCGGGGCCATATGCGTTGCATGAGGGAATGTTCAAAGTGAGTCTACCCCTTGGTCTGTTCATCGAATAGATCTGTAGCTTGTTTACCAGATTTGGAACTATGATCCAATCAACCTGTCATCTACATATCTTCGATACTTGGTCAAGCTGACGATTGCAGGTGACTATTCGTGAACAAGGTTCGCCAGAGCAACACAAAATATTCGGCGAACCAGCGGAAGCCTACAAGATCATCGGATGCTATGCCCAGACCGAGCTGGGGCACGGCTCAAATGTCCGGGGACTCGAGACCACAGCTACCTGGAATTCCGAGGACAAGACATTCACGATCCACTCGCCGCACCTAACTGCCAGCAAGTGGTGGATCGGATCTCTGGGACGCACAGCAAACCACGCCTGCGTCATGGCACAGCTGATCATCGATGGCAAGCCTTTCGGACCCCATCCTTTCATTGTGCAGATCCGAGATTTGAAGACCCACGAGCCGCTAGAGAATATCCACGTTGGTGACATTGGCCCCAAGTTCGGTTACAATACCATGGACAACGGATTCCTCCTCTTCAACCACGTGAAGATCCCGCACATCAACATGTTGGCCCGCTTCTCTCGGGTAGATCCTCAGACGAACAAGTACGTTCGCCAAGGCAGCCCGACACTTGTGTATGGTACTTTGACGTATATCCGCTCCACCATCGTTATGCAGGCTGGCTCCGTACTTGCGCGAGGAGTGACCATCGCAACTCGCTACGCCGCTATCCGCCGTCAGTTTCAAGACCGTGATGCGCCGGAATTGGAGAAGGGTGAGAACCCAGTCCTCAACTACACCATGGTCCAGATCCGACTTCTGCCTCTTCTTGCGGCTACGTTTGCTTTGCATTTTACAGGCAAAGGTATGCAGAGGCAATATGATGGCAACCAGAAGCGGATGAATGAGGGAAATGCAAATCTGGATTCTAGCAAGAGAGGTGCTGGACCGGAAGAGACGCAGTCGGGTAGCGATACTCTGGCCGATCTTCACGCTACGTCCTGCGGACTGAAGGCTTTGTCAAGTACCATTGCCGCGGAAGGTCTGGAGGTCTGCCGGAGAGCTTGCGGTGGACATGGCTATTCTAGCTTCAGGTAAGAACATCCTTCGCGGGAGTCGGATGGATGGTGCTAATTATGGTCAGTGGTATTGGCTCCTGGTACGCGGACTACTTGCCTACAACGACTTGGGAAGGCGACAACTACATGTTGACACAGCAAGTAGCACGATACGTACGTCTTGTTTTGACCATATTCCACGCTGAACACTAACGCATCCAGCTCCTCAAATCCGCCCGCAGCGTACTTTCCGGCGCCGCTCCCTCCAATGACACTACTCGCATTCTTTCACACTTTCGATCTCGTACCAACATTGGCTGCGCCTTTGATATTCTCGGTTCCGATGAGGATATCGTTGCGGCCTTTGCCTGGCGTGCCTCCTTCCTGACCTTTGAAGCGCTCAAGCACCGCGACGAAGAGAAGAAGCCCTGGAACGACCTCCTGGTCGACTTCTACCGCCTCTCCAAGGCACACAGCCAGTACCTCGTAATGAAGAACTTCTTTGAAGCCCTGCAGGACCCGTCCAACACGTCCGCGCTGGACGCACCCACCGTCAAGGTCCTCTGGTCGCTGTTCCGTCTCCACGCGTTGCACACGCTCGAGCAAGAAGGATCCGAGTTCTACGCTAGCGGCGCCTGCAGCAAGCACCAGATCATGCTCGCGCGCACGCAGACGGTCATGGCGCTGCTGAAGGAGATTCGCCCGCATGCCGTCCGGCTGGTGGACAGCTGGGGCTTCGACGACTGGGTGCTGGATTCGAGTCTGGGGAGGTACGACGGGAAGGTGTATGAGGACATGTTCTACAGGGCGAGCGAGCTGAACCCGCTGAACGGGGTGACGGTGGACCCATACCCGGAGAGCGAGGTGCTGTTCAAGAAGGTGGAGGGGTTGAAGAGTAAGTTGTAAGCTGTTGTTGCGTTGTTGGGTTGTTGAGACGCTAGAGATTAGACTGTATAGACTACGGGTGGATATGGACGTTGCATCTTGTTGGCCGCATCGATCGTATGATGTGAATCAGGTGTCTGCAGTGGTGTTCCAGGCCCAAAAGGGGCAATGTTCCGCGCTCATCAGCCCATTGGTCCACGCACTCCACAAGCAAAAGGAATCGGAAAGGGCAAGTGTTATCTCAAGTTGATACAGTATTATCCATCAATAATCCTGTCTGTAAGATAAGTATCTCGGTGTTGGTATCTAGTGGTGGTGTAAAAAGATCCATGTCCCTTCTCGGCCGATAGCGCTCGACCGGAGACGCAAACTCGGCCCGCAGCCGCACGATGCGAAAAAAAAAAACCCCTCAAAAAAAAAACCTGCAAAAGAAGAAGGGCTCAGCCGGGATTCGAACCCGGGGCCTGTCACATTGATAGATTCCATTAAAGAAATCCAGGCGTGGAAACCCGAAGCGACAATCATACCACTAGACCACTGAGCCGGTCGATCAGCTACAACCGCCTTGTTGCTGATTTCTGAAAATTCGCAAAATTAGTAAAGTTATATTGACGTGTCTTCACTCCGGGATGGTTGGCGAGAGGGACGGCTTCGGGGCAGGAAACACTAAGAGTGTTGGACATGTCACCACGGACGCTACGGCAGCACGACCCATAGAACGCGACCCAAAGATATCTTCATGACGTGCGACGACGCACCCTTATCAGCTATCGAAACACTAAAGATAATCCGCGCGCACGCTTCCGCCTCACACCTCAGCAGGTAGACAGCGGCATGAAGCGGCGCGGAGCGGAGAGCCGATCTTACTCGCCCAGTGCTCAGGCACAAGACGCACAAGTCGGAATCCGACATCGCAGCGATCAATCAAGCCGAACCGAGAAGGCTGGATCGTCCGTCCAACAGATTCCCCCCGACACACCGACTAACGCCCCCTTTGCGAGTGGGCGAAAGAAGCCGCCCTCTACCCACATGTCTGCTGTCGCGGCAGTCGAGACGAAGATGAAGCACCAAGGCCTGGCTGTCGAAAGGCGCTCAGCTGTTCAGTGTTAACATTGCGGGGAGAGATCGGTCGGTCGGGCCACCAGGCCGGTTCGGGCCTAGCTGGCTGCTGCTGGCCGGCCCATGCTCCTTCTCTATCCTGTGTTTTGTGAGTGTTGAACTGCACGACGGCTGGCTTGCATACTTTTCCCCTGTCTTGGGCCAGTCAATGGGACCGTTCCAGAGGCTCGCGGTTGTGCAGTTGCCCTGAGCGTCACGCCAGCCAGACGTGACATTAATCGCCAGTGTATTGACCGCCTCCATCCCGAAGCTCTTGCGTCCATAAATCTGTCTCCTCGCCGCGACAGTTTGGAGCTCACTTGTGGCTCTTCATTCCTCTGAACCGAGTCTTCCCGAAGCATACCGCGCCTTATCTATCTCACTCTGCTGATTCCATCCGACTCCTTCCTCTCATCACTTCGCCATCTTCATTCCCAGCTTATAGCTTCATTCCCAGCTTATCATCGTTGTAATCATGCAAGCCTCACGAGTGTCCTCCCGTGCCTTCCGGGCCATTGTTGCTGGCAGCAAGCAGACCCGCGGCCTCCACATGACGGGCCCGGCGACCTTCTCCTCCCTCCTCACGTCAGAGCGACCGGCCATGAACCTCCCACGCGACCTTGCCGGTCTGCGTTCGGAGTGCTCGAAGCGCAAGCTCCCCACCGCCGGTTCAAAGAACGAGGTAAGCCAAACCACTCAGATCCGTCAATTGGAGCCAATCCGCTGACCCAATTGCCAACAGCTGGTCTCTCGCCTTTCCGCCCACGAGCTCGTCAACACGCGCTCCTTCAGCTCCGCCATCGAGACGTCAAAACGACCGGTCCCCTCCAATGAGCCTGGCAAGCTCGTCCGTCACTTCAACACGTCCCGCAGCCTCAAGGCCGTAGGCGATTCCTCGACCATCGATTTCGCTTTCATCCCCGATTTCGATCCCGACACCCACAGGGCTCCCGTCGGCATCCGGGTCCCCATCCTCCCACAGACCACCACTACATATAGCGCAATCGCCGAGGAGGCTGAAGAACCGGTACGCACCATGTCACCCCACTGTAACCCACCATAATGTTGGGTCTAGCAAATGTGTACTGTAGACTAATCCGAATGCAGATGATGCTCCCTACCATCCATACCGTGGCTGATAACACGCAAATTCATGCTCCGGCCGCCCAGTACGAGGGTGTCGAACCCAACTACTCGGACTTCCAGGGAATGGCTTCTTACGCGGCAAAGAAGCTGGGTCGGGAAGTAGAGGAGGGTGCCGGCATGGCGAGGCAGATTTGGGCTGGCTTGATGGACGACATCCTCCGTCCCCAGGGTCCTACCAGAGCCTGATGCAACCTCCACTAACACACCATGCTGGTCACTGATCTAGAATGACCCATGTGTCATCTAGGTCGAGACAGTATACGGGTGTGATAATTCTTTCTTTGCTTGGCAGATAACGAGCGATATTCGCGTACGGTTTTTGTAATTGATTTTCCCCACTGGGTTCAGTCTGTTCGAAAGAATGGACGGGAACGGGATCGTCGGGCTTGAAGTGCTCAAGCTCATGAGATACGAATCCAACCCGGCCTGCATTCAGCGTGTCTTTGCGAGTTGATTGTTTATTAACTCGCCTTGGCACGCATTGAACAGGCCGTCTCACTTTTGCCTGTGCTTCTCTGCCGCCGTGCTCCATTTCATGATGTGTATGTGACTGTTGACGTAAGGGGAGATAAGAGTTCGTTGGATCTGCCAAATCGCCCTCCCATTTGGGTAGGGAACCGCTGGGGAAGCTCGCCATGTGATTGGGCCTCCTCATTGACAATCTATTATCTGACATGTCGGCCGATAGATGAACTCCAATGAGGTACGGGCGGTTGTTGGGCACCCAGATTGCCAAAAGTTGGCACTATACAGCCGATCTGCGAATACGTTGTTGACTGCTCGTCGGAAGATCGGTACATGAGATAGTCGCCGAGAGTATATTGTAGGCTATGAGGGATGTGAGAGCTATGTCGTAGTGGGGAGAAATGGCCCAAGTAAGTGGGGGACGGGATTTGCTGACCATGCCTTTGCTCAATAATCGTTCTGAGAAATAACTTGCGTGGTGCGTCGGCAAGGCCTTGTAATCGACCTTTGACGATCGCGGTCCCGGAGCCACTGCGGTCCTATTCCTGCAACTTCGACTTCGGAGTTGTTTGTACTTCACCGAAGCGTCTTCGTGCATGTCTGCCTACTTGGATTTATAGGTAGGTGGTGGAAGTTTCTGGAAGTTTTTGGTTTTTGGTTTTTGGTTTCTGGAAAGGGTGGGGAGGTAAAGTCGTGATTGTTTCTAAACAGTTGAGGTGATGTGGATGATGTTTTGGAGACGTATGCTTATTTTCGGTCGACATGGTCAAATTGTATGGCCGTGGTTGTTGGATCATCAAATCCGACGCATTTTTCAACAGCTACTTCGGCTTCACAACGCTCATCGGCCAGTGATGGCTTATTGTTGTGATTGCCTAAGTTTGACGCCTTGATTGGTATGCGATCAATTGTATATAAGGATGTTGGCATTCTTGATCAAGAGTCACTAGAAGAAATAAGTCAGAGTAAAAGTGTTTGCAGCTCTGATTTCCATTTCTTGCTCTGCAACTAGATTATATCGCTAGACTGAAGGAATGCCTTGGTCGATATTATGTGCACTCGAGGTCCACATCTACCCAAAGTATGCAGATTCAGTTTTCTCGTCGTACCACATGTGAAGACTGTGACATTTTTCCTCTTCCTCAGCTGTATGCTCATGGTAGCATCGGGTTCCTTCCTCTATCGGTGCATCTCCCCTTTGCATCTCTCGGAATCGCCTCATCCCACGCAGCAGGAACTCGTGTGGAAACATCTTCTCGAAGTATATGACCTCGGAGGAATCTCCACAAACATAACTTTCTGAGAAATACTGTTCGACCATGAACCCAAGTAGCAGACTGTGAGCCGGTAGCTGCTCGAACGCTAGGATAGCGATTTCGCACACCTCTTCCACATGAAAGCCGTGCTCGTCCACAATATCGACGAAACCGTTATTCATTAATTGGCAGAACGCAGACGCCATAATCCGATCGCCTAACGCGTATCCTTTGATGCATGCCAGATATGCGGTAGTTGCTTTACCATCGTTTTCGAGCGCAAGCTCCCGTTCGCGATTAATATCTGGCACCTTTCCCGTGTAGAGCCAAGTAGCGAATATGCCGACTATGTGTCAAGTATTAGCGGGTGAACAGACAGCATCTTTTGTGGAGACTGCAACAAGGGCATGTCACGCACGGCACTAGGGGCCATCTGCAAACATCCTCGGAGGTATGAGTGTACTCACAGACATCAGGCTCTACATCATCCAAGACAACGACCCTGTCCTCGGCTTCCTTCCATTCTCCTTGTAAGGCTGCGCGAAAGTACTCGGAGTGGTGCGTCAACAACGCCTTGTGGATCTGGAAGTCTTGTTGGTGTTGGTCTGGGCCGACTTTGACGGTTACGATGCCTTCACCACTTGTAAGGGTTGCACTAGTGCCAAAGTTATTCTCACTTCTTCTCGCTTTACAATGCTAACGTACCGGAGCTTGGGTGGCTTCGCTGGGGTGGACGTATCCGTGGAGGGCGCCATGGTTTGAAATTGGTGGCGTGGTGATGGCGAAGGTAAGAGGGCGTTGGAGACGAAGAGTATTCTTGTATGTAGGTGGGCGGAGATTCGACGCTAAAGCGTTTGCACGCTCGGACGAGGAAGGTGAGAGATTTTGATACTAAGGTGAAGGTGATGGCTGTAAACGGAGACTTATCATTGATTTACAGTCATGACAAGGAATTAGGCTTCCACAATTGCTTCTATCGTAACCATATCAAAGGTGTATATGGCACTTGTAGCATGGAATATTTATCGCTGTCGGTATCCATTAGCTAAGCTTCGATCGCGAAGGGGGGTTCTTTCGTGTGAATCCATTCGATAGAGATTCTGAATACACGCGGAACGAAATTCTTCATGTGACCTAACGTCATTTGACCTTGAGCATGTTGTCCGTGTGTTCAGAGTGTGGCGTAAGCAACGCTTCTTGGACACGAAAGGTGCGGGTGGAGCGACTTCCAACATCGACGGTCGTGAAATCGTCTCATTGTGTAAAGGAACTACCTAACGTGTCTCAATTCAAGCTGTTTCAAACAGCAAAAATTCCAAAATCCCGATTCTTTCGATTCTGGTAGCTACATTCCCTCATACTACTCAATCACTTCTCGAGAATCCCTTACTGGCTGACTTGCCTCAGCTACTTCAGGTTCTTGCGTTAAAGCAGTAATGACGGGGTCTTGAGGCACGTCTTCAATCTGCCCAGCTGCGACAACTTCCGTAGCTTCGATGGGTTGCTGTTCATCCAGCGCTTCAGCTTCATCTTGAGCTTCATCGGTACCTTGTACTACTGTTTCTGGTTGATCCCTCTC